GAACGACAACTTGCCCATTACGTAAGCGTTTCTAACATCTATAATTTCTTCATTTTACCACCTCTATCGCATTTATAATAAACTGGAGATTTATCAAGAAAGAAGAATTCTGCCTKTACAATATTTTCAAATCATGCACGTGTTGTGTTTCAGCTCCACGCAACGGAAATTGGTCCYCATGGGGTTCTTGGCGATCTTGTTCAGTCACGTGTGGTGGGGGTAGCCAATCACGAACAAGAACGTGTACTAACCCARCACCAGCTAATAATGGGAAAAATTGCTCTGGACCTAGCTCACAGACACGGCAATGTAATACAAATAACTGTAAGTAARATAGTTAATATATTTTATCCATATATAACATCTCATCGAACGCTTAGGGAGTAACTATAGATCATACTGCATGCTTTTTCTCTATGGYGTTTTCAGGCTGTCGAGCTGGCGAGCATGTTTTTGACAAATGTGGTCAGAGGTGCGTGTGTTCACCACAGGGGACATTAACGATGTGTACGCGTATAAGAAAAGAATTTACTTCCATGTCAGCGGTAGAACGAGAGAGATATATYCAGGTTATCAAGAAAGCATCAACTGATGAAAGGTCTGTAAAATGATCCTCGAGGTCCTTTTAAGAAACCTATTATTCATTAATGGCCACAAACTTGTTAAACGAAATATGCCATCCACGAAAACGTTGCACCCATTACTTCAAACCATTTACACGATCCGTTTTTTTTTTTCAATTGATTTCGTACATAATTCATTTAGCTTCATTCAATATTTATATATACGATATATACAATTGTTTACATCTTTATTCATATGTATACAATTCCTACAATAAATATTAACGTATTTATCTTATCTAAGTATTGATCACATATTTTTGTTAAATTRTTGTTATTCATTGTATTTACCTAAGAGTAATGGCCACTTGCTTATCTGTTTAAATTGATGTCTTTTTACCCTTGATAAACAAAGTTTATCAGTTTAGCGAATAAAATCATGATATGGATACATCCAATATTTCAGATTCAAGAAGCGTTATGACGACCTGATCACTATACATAGGGTTATATTTAATAGTGGCATACATCGCCAAGATCATTTTCTAACGTGGCACCGTTGGTTTATGCTACAGTATGAGAATCTATTGAGGACGGTCGATTGTACTTTTACCATTGCATACTGGGATTGGAGTGTTGTYTCAGGGCAGCCCTGGGGGAATTCCTCTAGTGATGTTTGGCATTCTAAACAAGGTTGTAATTACTTGATATAAATAACACATTATTGAAGATAGTAATTAGCATTTTGATGACAAGAGAGATAATGATTATCTTTGTTTAATTAGAGCTGGGATCTTTGATGGTGCGATTTATTGTATCAATCTAAATAAATGTGAACGAATGAAAATGTTCCTATTGCAACAATGCAGGTGGTTTTGGATGGAATGGAGTACCCCCTGATCAATGCGTCAACAAAGGACCTTTCAGAAAGGGTGTGTGGGAACTTGTTCCTTCTGCTGATCGGCCGCGGTGCTTAAAAAGACAATTCAATCGCATCCCACCAGATAGCGTAGCWGTAGCAATAGTTCTCAGAACACCATCGTCAAATTTCAATGGATTTGAAGTCGCTCTCAGAATAACTCTCCATAACTCTGTCCATTGCATGATTCATGGCACAATGTGTTCTCTTGATTCGGCTAGTGCACCAGAGTTCTTTCTTCATCATGGGATGGTCGATAAGGTAGGATATAAGGTTTTTGTTTTTTTTTGCCCCGGAGGAGAGTAGGGGACTCCCTAATATCACAGGGCGAGGGTCCTCGAGAGCCCTTTTAGGGTTTGAAATCGGTATTTTGGTCCCGCTTAGGGTGATAATGACTAGAATTCGCACCAACTGAGTTTTGTGGTCCCTTTAGGTTATACGACGACCCTAAGCCGTCATAAAGTGGCAACGTCGATATAAACTCAATACGAGCCGACGGTGTTCGATGATTGTGCAAAAACGCCAATAAAATCGGGAAACCAAAACAAAATGATCTGTTATTTATTGGTCCCTCTTAGGGCTGAAATTTCAGCACTGCCACACCCATCATCTCACAATAGAGGTCCCTTTCAGGGGTCATTTTCAGAATWTCCGACGAGGACCCCCGGGGGGTTTTGCTTTTCAAAGAATCTCATATTTTTGATACACGTGTGTACTTTCTTGGTTGCATGGATTTCAGACTTCATTGATATTGTTTCTAATCAACAGCTCTGGGAAGACTGGCAAAAGAAGAGTCTAGCTCACAGAAGAGCACATTTCTATAATTTGAATGCTGTGTTGCCAAGTACCAACGGACTACGTTCCCGTGAATTCCTGGACAATACTGCATTGCCTGGTGGTGTCAGAGTCGAATATCAACATGCCAAACAAGGTGTTGTATCGCGCATYATTCAAMGACTTCGATGTAAGTATAATATCGCCAAAGGTTTCTTTAMTTTKATCTTGGATCTCAACTTTTGWCCTTAAGAGGGCACTTTTTCTGGAAAATACAGATGGGCTCAATTATACACYCAGGTCAAGGGAGWGAGAGAGAGCCAGTATGAAATGACGGGAAAGAGTCCGTCTTTATGGAAGCTGTACTAGAAATTAGAAGCTGGTATCCAATAAACTGATTATGTTTTCTTGTGGTTTAAATCAACAGCTCTAAGTACAGATATTTTGAGGAGAATTCCTAGAGAAGGATTCAGCCGAATTGGAAAAGAAGCCCTTGATTTGTTCAATGTCAGTGGTATTGAACGACGCGAGGCGAGGAGAATTGAAAAGATGTTGGAGCCTTTACATCGTAGTATTCCACCAAAATCGGCTTCAAAGTTAGATAAAAAGCTTGGATTTCGCCATAAGATCATTGACCAGATGGAAAAATCGAGCGGATAAATACTGAAGTGACCAAAGAAAACAATTGTAGAAAACAAATAGCACAAAAAAATAGCTGTAAGGGGAATATTAGATAATCAATATAAACACGAATGTCAAGAGGTGAAAATTAAAAACTTAGGAGCCATTAATAATCTCACTAATATAATGRAATAAAAGAAACGTTTGTCAAATTATTAATATGAAAAATTTTAATTAAATTTCTGCAAATGTTAATTAAATGTCATACGTTTTCAACAATGTCACATTGGAAAGCGTATTTTATTCCTTTATACAACAAACATATATAAGTGAAACATCGCCATATGGGAACATGATATCAAATATGCGCTACGGAGTCCTATGAAACAAACCATAATTGCCCAAAAGCACATATGGCATGCCCTTGCTTAAAATAGCTTGGAGCAGCAAAAAGCATTATCATTTCATATGATCATCAATTCTTCATTTACACAACTGCCGCAGTGCAAGTTCATCTGTCAACATTTACTTTGACTTGTCCGAAGACATTTTAATTTAAAAACGTTAGCAACAAGTCACTTTTCCCTTCTATTTCGCTTTTTATTTGTTGCTGGTTAAAGAGCGAAAACCATGRCGAACTTTCGAGGGGAAAAAGCCATTTTGTTTCTAGTTTTTTCGTGGTTTGCTCTTTCGAAGACAACGTCTACAGCTCTCAAAGTCTCCCAAGTTAACAATACAATGGTTTCAAAATATAGAGGTAAGTCTTAAAGTGAACATAGGGAATACAAGAATAGGTAGTCCCGGCGCCCATACARAGAGTTTGAAACAGGAAAGTACTTGTAAGGGTTGCAAAACAGTAACAGTCCAAATGATGGGAATTTCTATTATAAAAACACTATTCCAAGACAAAAAATAAAGACAAAATACAGACAAAAATACATGCAAAGCAAGCAACCCAGAGCATCGACTCTCACAACACTATTTTATGCTTTGTTCTTTGAATTTCAAAAAAAAAAAAATACAGAGTGAATCACTTACCTTTTTTCCMAAGTCTTTAAAAGTTGGTCTCAAGAGGCAAGTGATTGGAGCAAAGCAGCGGTCATCGGTTTTACAGGAACAACAATTTTCACTTCCATCGTAAGTAACAGCATCATCAYCCACAGCGTTCGTGTAAACAGAAACATGTACACAACCACTAATTACTTCATCGTCAACATGGCGTGTGCCGATCTTGTATATACCWTGTACGCGGGTCCATTCACGTTGCATTTTCCACTTGGCTGGTTCACATGGCTTCCTGGACTTTTTGGCCAGATTACGTGTGCTGGATATAACATTCTGCAAGTTACAATATACCTATGCTCAACATTCAGTTTAGTGATTATAACATTTGATCGATATATGGCAGTKAGCCGTCCTCTAAAGTACAAAAGCCATCGTTCATCATGTAAATACATTATAGCAATGACATGGGGGCTCTCTCTAGGTTTAGGTCTACTTGTCGCTCACTTTRTAATAACTTTCAATCTAGTAACTCTTGATGGCGCCAAAAYAATGTGCATTGGAATTGAAGAAAARCTGGAAGTGACAATATTAATGACTTTGGGGTACCTCTTSCCACTTKTTATCATCATGTCATTATGTTCGGTAATTGTCTACAAGCTAAGGTCYAGAAAAGTCCCAGGGGAGGGAGACACGGGTGGRCAGAACGCTGCTCTAAGGMTGTCAAAGAGAGYAACATATATGATAATATCCGTTGTTGTGGCTTTTAATCTAGCGTACGCTCCAATGTTCATTACCAATTACATAGCTGATAGCTATCGAGTTGGGTGGTTCWTTGGGATTGTATGGCCTATTGCATACTCCATATCTTATCTTAAYGGAGTCTTTAACCTGGTTATCTACTACATTTTCAGTGAAAACTTTCGAACTGCATTCAGGGGGTTATTAATCGCTAGATAAATCCCTGTTTCAGGGATGGAATCCGGTTGTAAATATGAAAGTTTACATGGTTAAACTCTGGTTCAATAAAAATCACGTCACTAGTCATTTTTAAGTCGTTTGTCCAGTTAAATAAAATTCGGAATTTTATTTATTTATATTCACTGATACACATGGAAAGTTGTCTGTCGGAACAGACCGTTGTGCTGGCTAAATAAGCAAGTTAAATATACACATCTGTTCTGTTGAAATTTCTTAATTCTTGGCCTGTTGTGAGCGCTTGTATTCTACCAACCCCGCAATACTACTTAGGGTTGTCGACAAGCAGCGCTTTGATGCAAGAGGAGGTCCATAAGTCTCCAGTCCCGCCACAGCGTGCATTTTCTTCCGTTCATACTTCATCAACACAGAAAGTAAGGATCAAAAATATTTCTGCCTGTAGAACTCCGCTACGGACAGAACAGTGATTCTTGCACTTGGCTTTGCGAGCACATCGCAGGCTACACCCACAAACTGTTTTTAATAAAGCTCAAAGGGAGTTCCTCAATATAATGTATATACATGATTGTATAGTAGTTTAGTTTCCGTTAGGACAGATCAATTCCATTATATAACATAAACATAACATATTTAAAGCACAATAATCTTACACGAATCTTACACGAAGAAAAGGCTAAAAACTTAAATATGAATATAATCTGACTTTCAAAATAAAACGCAATCTTTTGGGAAACACATTATTCTTAAACGATGTCCACAAAGGATGTGGCGAATGTTCTTAATCAAACATAAATAAAAAGCGAAAACAAGAGCAGTCATGAAATGAGGATATTCATTGTTGGCTACGGGTACAATATTCGCTAACCCAATCGATCCCTTAGACTATTAATAACGTCACTTCAAAGCCGCAAGAARTGATGCAATTATAGAAAATGGATATACTTATATCACTAGTAAGTACTCGATGTAATTTTCTTTAGGTTACCCTTTCCATGGGCTCCTGAGAATTGCTATTGCGTGAAGAACTTTGACCGAAAAGAGCTTTTAGCTTCATGATGGCAGCTTTACGTAGATCATTCATTCTCCATAAGTACAATATTGGATTCAAAGACGAATTCACAAAAACCAATAGTTCACCGCCGGTGCTGAGCAGGTAAGTCAGCATTCTGTATTTACTTTGGGCAGCATTTGCTAAACGCACGTGAATTGCCGCCACTGTACCAATTCCAATGAGATACGGCAAGTAAAACATCATGATTGTCAGGAAAACAAGAAGCATAGTTTTTAAAGATCTTTTATAAGTTTGAACGTGAAATCCATTGTTGTCGTTTTTACGTGTCGACTGATCCTGCTTTCGGTTCGACTTAGGAATAATTGGAGATGCAAGTTTTTTCAGTTTATAAAAGCAAATCCCATAACAAGATGTGATGATCACAAGCGACAAGAAAATATAGGAGCAAACAAATATCGCTGAGGGGATAAGAGGTGCCTGAAAGAACATGATACAAAAGGCGGCAGAACYTGTTCCCAGATACCAGGCGATCAAAATCTTARTTATTCTTTTAGAAGTGACAATGCTCCTGTACCTGGTTTTTAAGATTATAGCAAACAATCGATCAATGCTTATTAATGTCAATGTAAAGAGAGACATAGCACCCATGTAATATCCGCAATAACGTCCGGCTATCCATGTAAAACAGAACACATGCACCAAGTCCGTGAGAGCTGATATGTTAGTAACTACCATCATTGGATCACAAAACAATCCAACGACCATGTCAGTGAAGGCAAGATKTCCCAGTAAGATAAAAGAAGGCTTATGAAGTGTGGGCGTTTTCCATATTGTCAGAATAACCAAAGAATTCAATGATAGAGAAACAAGCGAGTTTAAAACGTAGCTTGCAACCATGATGGTTCGGTAAGTTGGTAACTTGATGTTGATGATATCATAGAAGCAGCTTGTATCATTCATTTTTTTCCTTCTTTTTCTTTTGTTTTCTTTCCCTTTTTCTATTCGCCAAACTTGAAAACCAGCGCGGAGCGCAGATGAGACATGACACACTTGAATTCCGATCACTTTAATAGCGGGAATATCGTATCAGAACCCATCGTTACTCTTATCAATTGTTCCTATTTGTCAAAAGGCACGGCTGAAAGACGATGAGGTACTTGATTATTTCTTATGTATTGTTTCTATGTGACAACAAAAGCACGGCAAAGATATGTGCCACTTGAACGAAAAAACACTTTTTTCCGTCTCTTCCACATTCAAGCATCAATACAGCTGATTATGAAACAACGAACTCTGTCTAAGAGTGGCCAGCATGTTAACAAAACGAACCGCCTCAATCGTTTGCGCCAATGAGGCTTTGCTTGATCTAGATATCAGTGAATACTACGTGTTTCAGCAGTCAATCTGTGAAGCTGTTTGTGTTTGTTAAAGCCTGCTGAGCGTGAGTGGTATGAAWAGATAAATAAATTGAGAACGATGCTGTTATCTTTGTGTCAAGCAGYTAGGCCCTCAAGCCGTTTGTTAAAGCGCTTCAGCAAASCTGTCTGAACTTATCTGTTCCAAGCGTTTCTATCGATGACTACATACCCCTTTTCGAAAATCATGAGAATTGTAGATAAATATATATACATATAAAACATCTCTTAAATAATTGAAAAAAATATAGCATCGAATTTTGAAAATATTATCAATGATAAATGCCTAAATTATTATAAAATGTTTTTGTAGCTACCCAATAATTTAAAAGCAAGTTGTGTTACTTTTAACATAGAAGTATATGACATATCTCATAATTTTTGAAGAGAGGTGTATATAGACTATATATTAATTTATCAGTCTCAAGGATCCCAACTGTTCGATAGGTATCCGGGTAGATTTCTTTTTATAAAGATTTCTCTGTATGACTTTTCTTTCTCAGTTTTTCTTTCCATTTCTTTTGTTTTGACTATGTCCGTTCATGATCTACTGTG